TTGGCCATTCCCATTGGCTGCTTGGCTCATTGAGTGAATGTAGATAGAAATTCAAAGTATTGATAGTCTAGCACGATGTGTTAGCTCGCGCATAGGCCGATCGATAGCCTATTATGGGCGCGGCTACTTGCTGCTTCCATGCTAGCCGTTGGGCCCCTCCTAACACTTAGTAGGCACGAATGTAGCACTACTTCATTTTGGCCGGCAACCGTATAAAAGTTGGGTGGGAACACGAAGGGCAAAACAAGGCGTGGGGTGCCATCTACAATGAAACTAGTGGAGTCCAAAAATGCGGCTGTCAGTGCAGCAAGGAATTTTTTGGTGGAACAATTGGACTCGCATTTCAGTTAAGCAGTTGAGTTTGTTGGTGCATCCAAACGCTGAAGGAGAACTACACAAAAATGCGTGTAGGGTGCAGAGCACGAGTTCCTTTTCCCACCAAAGTCAGCATGATAGAGCATAGCTGCCCGAATCACGATATCAGAGGATAGGTTAGGTGTCTTATGCCAAGCAGACTGTTAGGGTCAATTGAAAGGCATATATGAGGTATGTGCACAGAAGGACATCATTACTATTAAAATTCTGACACTATTTGGCCGGCACGGCGTCTTGTTTCCTTGTACTTACGTCTCCTAAGCGATGTGTCGACGAAGATCATAATTAACTATATGGCAATCGTCCACTGTGCATGATCAGGTCAACTATTGGCTGGGAGGGAAAGGGGCGGGTCAGCGGTGACTCAGACATGAATTTGGTTGCAGTGAATACGAGTTTCGTGGCACGCATCTCCCCTACGCTCAAATAAAAAGACAATATTATGATGATTGGAGACGGATATAGGTGCAATAGTTAAGTAAACGTCTACAATTGCCACGCACACGCCGTTCACTACACTTGGCCTGGAAGGAGACTATGCCGGGTAAAAATGTGCGCCACAGTGGTTGTTGGTATGTGCTAGCCGGGCCATGTAGTCTGCGTAAACTCTCCACCACAACCTCATTCATAAACCACGTGTGAGGCTGGCTGGCTGGCTAGTAGCCCTTGTTGGATCAGGAGGCCCACCGGGTTGGCGAGGAGAAGCTGGAGTAGCGTGGTCGGGAGGGGCTGCTCCGTCGTCAAAACAGAGACGTAGAAGAGAA